TTTTAATCGACTACAGCAAAGCATTTGATACTTTGGACCACGATTTGCTTTTTACAAAATTAAAATACTTTGGTGTGGCGAATGATACACTTGAATTTTTTAAATGCTATTTTAAGGATAGACGTCAGAGAGTTTACTTTGATGGCCAGTATTCTAATTATTTGACATTGAGCAAGGGAGTTGCACAGGGTAGTATAGTTGGGCCACTCATGTTCTCTCTCTACACTGCTGATTTTAGCGGAATGCTGAAACATTGTTCCTCCCATCAGTATGCGGATGACACGCAAATATATCTGTCTTTCAAATATTCGGAAATACATGCAGCTTACAATAAACTAAATTGTGACTTGAAACTGCTTAGTGCTATTTCAGGCTATCACGGTTTATTGCTTAATGAGAAGAAAACGCAGCTGGTGGTTTTTGGTAAGGATAAATCTCTGATAAAAACTCTTGAAAATTTAAATATTTTTCTAAGTGATAGTATATTGAAACCAGTCGACTCTTGCAAGAACCTCGGACTTTTTATTGATGATGGTTTGCGCTTTGAGAGTCATGTATCATCTCTGATAAAAAAATCTTTTTGTAAACTTCGTACTCTCTACATGAATGGGGACATCCTGGATACATCCATTAAACTGAGACTCACTGACTCCTTAATACTCTCAAATATATCTTACTGTATTTCAGCCTATTGGCCTGCTTTATTACAAAGAGATAAAGCTAGCTTACAACGGCTTCAAAACGCATGCTTGCGTTTTTCCTTCAAAATTCGTAAATATGATCACATATCTGACTACTTCAATCGCTCTCATTGGCTTAATCTTGAGGAACGTTTCCAGTTACATCTTTTGACTCTTACTCATAAAACTGTTTTATGTGAACGGCCTGATTACTTGTTAAGTAAACTAGTCCGTAACTCGGATATTCATTCGCTTAATACTCGCCACAGAGGGTTGTTTAGTGTTCCCACTCATGCTACAGCATTGTTTCAGCGCTGCTTCACCTATAATGCCGTTAGGCTTTACAACAGCCTCCCCCCTCACCTTAGAGCCATAACAAGTCTTGTTTCGTTCAGGACAAAAATCAAACAACATTTAATGGACAGAAGGGACCGAATATTGAATTGAACATAGATGATTTTATTTTTATTTTTATTTTTATTTTTATTTTTATTTTTATTTTTATTTTTATTTTTATTTTTATTTTTATTTTTATTTTTATTTTTATTTTTATTTTTATTTTTATTTTTATTTTTATTTTTATTTTTATTTTTATTTTTATTTTTATTTTTATTTTTATTTTTATTTTTATTTTTATTTTTATTTTTATTTTTATTTCAATTTCAATTTCAATTTCATTTTCAATTTCAATTTCAATTTCTATTTCTATTTTTATATTTATATTTATATTTATATTTATATTTATGTTTATTTTATATTTATATTTATATTTATATTTATATTTATATTTATATTTATGTTTATATTTATATTTATATTTATATTTATATTTATATTTATATTTATATTTATATTTATATTTATATTTATATTTATATTTATATTTATATTTATATTTATATTTATATTTATTTTTATTTTTATTTTTATTTTTATGTATTGCTCATTTTTTAGGAGGTTGTATATGAGCAACCCTGTTGGATACCGCCTCCTGCTTAAAATTGTTTTGTTTTATAATTAGGTATTACCTGCATAAATAAAGACATTTTATTATTATTATTATTATTATTATTGTCTTTGCCTGGAGGCAAAGCCTACACTAATTCCCCGACTAATTTCCCAAATTTCCTGCTAATTCCCATAATTCCCCAGTAATTTCTCTAATTCCCCAACAATTCCTCTAATTCCTTAAATTCCTGAAGAGTGTACGCCAAAATTCCCCTGCGGCTTACCCCACAGTCCCGATTTATTGAGCGTTCCACTTCAAATAAACTTCAATTAAACATCAACTTTTTATCATTCGTTTATTTTGAATCAAATTAATAGTACATTGTTGTATTAGGAGTAGAAGCTTCACTTTTTTGTGCTGAAGCGGTAGGTTTACGAGCCGAACGTAGTGAGGCTTGCAATACTGCTGAAACACAAAAAAGTGTTTCTACTCCGTATGCAACACGCTATTTTTTCTCCAAACTAATGGGGTAAGCTCGGAGATAACTGAATGGATGAGCGGCAGTAAAAGTATGAGCGGCACTAAAAGTACTTTTACTGCTGCTTCAGCGGCACTAAAAGTACTTTTGCTGCCGCTGGGGTTGCCAAGCTGCATAGAATAGTATATTGTTTTTTTAGGAGTAAAAGTGATACTTTTTGTGACGAGACTAAATGTTTGACGGCCGAACGTTATGAGGCTGACAGTTTTAGACGAGCCACAAAAAGTGCTTTTCTCCGAATGCAACACGCTATTTTTTCTCCAAACTAATGGGGTAAGCTCGGGGGCAAGTGGATGGTTGAGCGGCAGTAAAAGTACGAGCGGCACTAAAAGTACTTTTACTGTCGCTGGGGTTGCCAAGCAGCATAGAAAATAAACTTCTACCGCCTCGACAGGTGTTAACCCGCTAGATTTACCTAGCAGCATAGAAATTAAATTTCTGACATCTTGACAGGGGTTAACAAAGTGACGTTTTTTGACGTTTGGAGAAAAAAGTACTTTTTTCTACTGACGTTTCATAATAGCAACTTTTCGATTGTCATTTTAGTTTTAAAACGACAATCTTTTAAGCACTGAGTGCGTAAAAGTTACTTTTAAGCACTCAGTGCGTAAAAGTGACTTTTGAATGCGTAAAAGTGACTTTTGAGTGCGTAAAAGTAATTTTTAAGCACTAGTGCCTAAAAGTGTCATTCATTATTCAGAAATAAAAAACACACTAAACACAGATTTGAATTTTGTTTTGTATTTATTATGAATATTAAAAATGTAATTATTAAATTGAACGTTTAGGTTACTCAAAACAGAACTTTGTGTTGTTACCTACTTTCTGGGATTTTAATTATTGATATCGAATCTTGAAAAAAAAAAATCGCATGAAAAGTGTCAGGTGGCAAGCAAAAGCAGGTAACAGAGATTTTGGGCGTAATCGACTTATTCACGTGAAATAAAATTGTTTTTTTATTATAAAATGCCAGTAGAAAAAATCTTGTATACAATACGTTACGAAACGATGTCTTTTAGTCACTCGACGTGTTGTCCAACTCGGCTTTGCCTCGTTGGCCAATTTTTACGTCGCGTGCCTAAATGACGCTCATTTCGTAACTTATTGTATAAATAGCTATTTTGTACGCTCATAGAACCAGCGGACAAAAAAGTACGTAACCAAAAAAATGACGTCTGTGAAGTCAAACTTCAACATTAAGAATTGAGGTTAAAAAAGTCGTCATTTTTTGACGTTTGCGGAAAAATTAAATTTCTACCACCTCGACAGGTGTTAACCCGCTGGATTTGCCTAGCAGCATAGAAATCAAATTTCTGACATCTTGACAGGGGTTAACAAAGTGGCGTTTTTCTGACGTTTGGAGAAAAAAATCTATTTGGTTTAATAGTGATATTGAATTGTTGACAGGGACACTTTATCCGTTAGGACAATTAGGTCATGTCCTACGGGCCACTAGAGGATGGAAGGCCGACTGCTGGCCTTCAATTTATACTATTATAAAATATAAAAGCTCACTATAATAGAAACATCGCCTTGTTTAGTATCAGGACTAGCATATATTTCAATACTCTTTAATTCTTATAACTCACACTGCACAAGCACATTTGGTTTGGCCAGAGTGCACTGCCTAACGTCACGATGTTCTAGAATCGCTCCATCGGGCATCAATCCGGAACACGCCCTAAAGTCACCGAGCTGCGCTGACTCGCCTTCGCGTCATTAACGCAGCACGAGCACGTGGCAACTACAGTGACTCTATAACCCACAGTGGCGACAATTGCTGTCTCATTTTTGATTGGTTCTAAAATCCCATATATTTATATTGAAAGCACCGCCATCTTGTTCCCAACCCCTTGTTACTTTTAAATATGAATATATGGGATTTAGGTGAACATTCATCATAAATCATGGTAAACAACGTATTTGATGGACCTGATAATGGTTATCAAATACGTCGATTTCAATTTTTTATGATAGATGTCCATTTAAATCCTATATATTAATATTTAAAAGTAACAAGAGGTTGGGAACAAGATGGCGGCGTGACCTCTATTGTCGCCACTGTATGTAAAGGTTTATTTAGCCACTGTAGTGGCAACGACAGACTTTGCTGTTAGTGTTTGCGCTAAGCCGTTTGTTGTTTGTTCGTAGATCTATTTATGGTGTCAAGCGTGATCGTGTGATTTACAACTTTACGACTTTCATGATGTCATTGATAAGTTCTCTAGCCTAAGGGCGCATTCTCATGAGCGTAAGTTGACATTTCTGGGGTAATCACGTGATAATATGGTGTAATTTGATTGGTAAAAAATTCAACATGGCGAATATTTTACCAATAAAACCTAACCATTTTATCACGTGATTACGCCAGAAATGTCAATTTACGCTCATGAGAATTTGTCCTGAAAGCGAGAAAAGTAGAGAGTAGCGCTTTAGTTCCAAACATATATATACCTACCTATTTTTTTTTCCAACTATATGTACATATGTAATATGTATGTATGTATTATGTATAATAAAAGCTATGAACTATGAAATATTTTTTAGAGTTTTTTTTAGTAGTTTGAAATCGTCTGAATGATTTTATATAAAAAAGAACAATTACTCATGAAAGGCTATACCAAATAATTGACCTACGGGCCAGAGAAAGGTTAAAGCGTCACTGATTGTTGATTTAAAAATCTATAAGTTATCTCAGAGCTCACATAGTGTTATTTTTTTGTATCTCATTACATATTTTTCTGTCTTTTCGACACTAAAAGTAGTTTCGAAAAGAAGCTCTTTGTGACACTGCTTTTTTACTTATCGGAAGTTGGTAACACTGGCTGACTGATGGCCATCGAACTGTCATTTGCGATTTTATTATTAATGAAAATAAAAATAAAAAAGAAGATTTCTATCTTTGGCATGTAGTGTTACCAACCTAAACATGAAATCAGGAAATATGAGAATAAAATTTCCAAGAATTTTTTTTTTTTTTTTTAATTAAACAATACCAAAATAGAAAAAATTGTATAAAATATTCGTTTATTATTAATGAAAATAAAAATAAAAAAGAAGATTTCTATTTTTGGCATGTAGTGTTACCAACCTAAACATGAAATCAGGAAATATGGGAATAAAATTTCCAAGAATTTTTTTTTTTTTTTTTTAATTAAACAATACCAAAATAGAAAAAATTGTATAAAATATTCGTTTCATAAGACATTTTATCGCACTCGCCCTTTAGGGCTCGTGCGATAAAATGACGTCTTATGAAACTTGTATTTTAATGTACTATTGTATAACTACTATAACTACATAAGTAATTTCATTAATCACTACCCCAGGTACCCAAAAAAACAAAAAATGAAAATAAAAACGAGATTTTAAAGAACTTTGTGACCTTGTCTCGCTTTTAGACTTTCAAGGTCTGGTCCAGTGGCGACGCTAGGGTATTACATTAGGGGGGGGCCAGACTGCGCCAGAAAAATTTAGGGAGGGGCACTTGTTTTTACTTTATTGCTTTTTTTTTGGAATAAAAAATGGGAAGTCGACACTAATATGTTTGGGGGAATCCCAAGAAAACTTGACCTTATAGGACTGCCTATTGAGCTGAAAGTGTCTACCATTTCAGCCGCAGACCTCAACTTTCGGCGTAAAATGCATTAGCCGAACCTGAATCGCAAGCATTCCATCAAGGCCTGCGGGTGACGTCACTACCTAGTACTCATAACCGCGAAATTCGCTCTTTTTTGACATTGCATTGACAATTTTATGCGTGAATCAAACGTCAAATCGTCGAAGCAATGTCAAAAAAGAGCGGCTTTCGCGGTTATGAGTATTAAGCTTTAAGCTGCTGATAATGGTGACGTCACTCGCAGGCCCTGACGACTGGAGAAATGGGGACCGTAGGTACGCCTAACTTACTTTTCGTGCATCCGTTTGTCCGTCAATCCGGAAGTATTCCTATTGGTTCAATATTCTGGCGCCAAAATATTGAACCAATAGGAATACTTTCGGATCAACGGATAAACGGATGCATGAAAAGTAACCAAAGCTTACTTTCATGCATCCGTTTTTCCGTCAATCCGATGATCTGGCCTATTGGTCCAATATTTTGGCGCCAACCTATTGGACCAATAGAAATACTTCCGGATCATGGAATTGATGGAAAAACGGATGCATGAAAAGTAAGCTTTATGAGGATGAGTAATCCTGAGGCGGGATTGTGTAACGGATAGAAATCCTTATCCCTTTTGCTATGGCACTTGCTGTCTTCTTCTCTCTTTTCGAAATCAATAGAGAGGGGACGTCAATAGCGAAAATATCTCTATTCGTTACAGAATTCCACATCTGTTAGTTTACGACTCTTGGGGGAATCCCAGGAAAGCGAAAACACCGTCGCGATTACCTGTGCCCACCGAATATCGAATTAACCGGCACAGGCTGCTGATGTTGCATTGCATTGTTGCCGGCATGAGAGCAAGTTCTCAGGGGGGGGGGGGCAGCTAAATTTCAGGGGGGGCCCGGGCCCCCTCTGGCCCTCCCCTGGCGTCGCCACTGGTCTGGTCACTTTAAACATTATAATGATTGCTCATTTATATAAACTTTTGTAGTTGGTTTCGATAACCTGATTACTAATACCCGTATTTGTATTTTCTAAACATTCCACAATTTCCTTCAGAAACCCACCCAATTATCAATACATCAATAAAATGGTAAACTTTTCAAGCTCTTGAATGTTGCCTTTAAAAACTAGAAATGTTCAATATTTTCAAACAAATGGACAGATGGAAACTACATTTCAAAAATGTACCCTTTTATTCACATTTATGTATTCTAAAAACTTATTTTTATTTTTATATAAAAAAAAATGTAAATGTCCCCAAATAGCCCACTATAGATTCAATTTTTGTTCAGTGATTACAATAATACCCCAATATAAAAATTGTACTTTTGTAATTCAAAGTTACGCCTAACACTATAATTATTACTAAAGAAATCAATTTTCACAGTTTAATTCTTACATTTATCTGAATCTTGCCTAGAAAATCCTTTAATGCAACACTGAGTTATATGCCTACCGTGTTTAGTTTTGTTCAACGTCATAAACTCACAAAGTTCGCACCTATATACTTTACTAGTAATTAAATTTTCAACTTCAGGTTCGAATCGGTGTTTAAATAAATAGTGAGCATCTAAATTCGATTTTTGGTAGCAAGAACGTTCACAATATTGGCAATCGTAAAATTTTACATTTGTGTGTCTTCTGGAATGGAGTATAAAATTGCCCTTATTGTTAGTGGAATAATTACAGTACATGCAATGTAAACTTTTTGTTGATTTCTGATGCTTATTTTTATGTTTCGATAGTTTGTGAGAAGCTAAATTGTGACAATTAATAGTGCGATAGTCGCAATATTTACAACTATGAATTTTGTTGCTTATGAGGTCTTCCGCTCCAGGAATATCTTTGTGATTATTGAGAAAATGACTGGCCAGGTGACTCTTTTGAGTAAATTTTAGTTCACAAAACGTACAGGCAAATGGTTTCTTTGGTTTCACTTGTGGAGTAGAGACAGCACTGCTGAAAATGAAATAAGTATAGGAAATATTTGTTAGGAATCAAACTTTCTTATACCTTTCTTCTTCTTCAGGATCTTTTTTGTAAGATACATCAAACTCGAACATTCTGAAAACATATGCATCATACATTTATTTAAGTCATTTATAACTAAGATTTATTATAATACCTACATACAGGGTGACAATTTGAAAAGTAGTAATCGGTAATATCTCTTAGACAAAAAATACTATCAGGAAATCTCAAATATGTGACGGGGGATTAGAGAGGGAACCGAAATGAGGCACTTTATGACTCACCACGCCGTCTCCGCCTCACTCATTAGGAGGGGGTAGCTACCCTAACTTATTTTTTTTCGAATACGAACCTATCTTGTGTCAAGGCACATCTTTGAATAGCTCAATGCTATCCCTTCACAGTCATATAGCAAAATCTTAAAAAAATCTCTTAGCCAAAAGAATTCTGCTATAAATGTGGTTTCTCTTATACATCGATATCTTAAAAACTAATCGTCCGATTTAAGATTTTGCTATAGCTAGGAGGACTGTAAAGGGATAACAACGAGCTATTATTAAGGTAGGTTCGTATTCAAAAACAATAAATTAGGGTAGCTACCCCCCAAGGGGTGAGGCGAGGACGGCGGGGTGACTCAAAAAATTCTTCATTTTCGTTCCCCCTCCAATCCCCCGATACGTATTTGAGATTTTCCTGATTTTTTTGTCTAAAAGATATTTCCGATTGCTACTTTTCAAATTCTCATTCTGTGTAGGTATTTTAATTTAGACCAACTTAAACCTCACCAGATTTAAGACATTATTGAAAATGTACTTAATAAAAGAAGAAGCTAGAAAAAATACTAAATCACGGTTATTACAAATAAAAATATACAATGCAGCATAAACTTAGATTATCACTATATTTCAGAAAGTACTCTCATTTGAAATGAAACTCTGACATGATTTGTTGGTTTGTTAAAAATCAAAAAATCGAGCGTTTTTGTATTCACTTGTAGGTAAAGTATCAATCATCAATCCAAGACCAATTATACTTATGATTCCCGCGTGGAAGTTAAGGATATCATAACTACCAAGGAAGTTAAGGATTTCCATAACTCCCGCTTTTACCTTGAATAGGTGAAACTTTGACAAAAATAGAAATTTTGATTTATGGTTTATTTCTTTATAAAAATGGACAAAATACAATAAATTCAGTAGGAAATAAAATTATCTATGTACCATGGGAATTATCAGGTATTAATACCCACGAGCAATTGCACAAAAGGCCCACGGGGCACAAACTGCCCTGGGGTATTAACACCCTCATAATTCCCTTGATACATAAATAAGTATTATATCAGGCTCAGAAATTGACATTTCCTATTAAAAGTGTCCAAATTGGACACTTTCTTATGGAAACACCCTTTATTTTGAGAAATAGAAAAAATGGACCCCCACTATGAGGCTCAAAATTCATGAAATCTTGATTGGTGCAAACCGCATTTTGATATCTTCAACCGTTTAGCCGCTAGAGGGCGATTCTCGATTATGAGCAATACTGTAAAGTCTCCATAACTTTTTTGTTTATGAAAATAATTCATTTCCGTAAAGACCTTTTGGAAGCACTTTTTCAAGCAGAATTTAGTGATGTTCTCAGTTTTTTCCTGTTTGGCTTCGATTTCCCGATATTGACCAAAATCCGATTTTTTTCAATAGGACACCCTATACTTATATTAATAGCTCATTAAAAAAATATTGTGTCTGAGAAATACAACCTAAAATCTCTAGAAGAGCAAAGCGTAAAAGGGTTGTACATGAAGAGATTAGATCAAAAATTACAGAGTAGTATGGACTTCCAAAACCTTGAAATGCATTACCAACATATCAAAGAGAGTATTCACAGTGCAGCATTTGAAGCCCTTGGCGAATATGAAAAAAAGGGAAGTAGACCCACACCTTATTGGTGGGACCAAGAAATAGAGAAAGACATAGAAGGTAAAAGGAAGAAATACCAACAGTATGTAACTTCAAATAAGATACAAGACAAAGAAATATATAAAGAAGCAAAAGCAAGAGTACGGAATAAAATAGTGAACAAAAATAACGAGTTATGGGAAAGAAACTGTGCGCATATTAATACTTATCTGGGGGGTAAAAGAAACACAGAAAGTTGGAGATTACTCAAAAACATAAGGAAAACACAAACTAAGGATATTATCAATACAATAACACCCCAGCAATAGGAAGAGTACTTTGAAAAATTATTGTCAGAACAGCGGGCAGAGTTTAAAGAAGAAAAAGAACAGACACGAAACATAAAAACTGCAGGATCACCAATACAAGTTATGCAAGAAGAAGTTAAAAAACACTGCGGCTTCTTGAAAAATGGTAGGACCCCAGGCTCAGGAGAAATATATGGAGAACTGATAAAGTGTGGGACCAATAAACTCTACAAACATTCAACAAAACTATTTCAAACATGCATAGATAAACATAAAGTACCAGAAGAGTGGAAAATTAGCTATTTAACAACGATATATAAGAGAGGAGACAGAAACAAATGCGAGAACCACCAAGGAATTGCAGTAACAATTACGCTGAGCAGAGTATATGGAAAACTTATAAAAGCCAGAATAGAGAACGAGTACAAAGATAGTGAGGCAGAAGAACAGGCTGGTTTTAGAGCAGGAAGATCAATTGTAGACCATTTATTCAGTTTGACCCAGGTAATGGAAAAGAAACTAGCCTATAACCAAGAACTCCATTTACTTTTTGTCGATCTAAAGAAAGCATACGACAATGTTCCGCTGAGAAAGCTTTAGGAAGCACTGGAGAAGACCAATATCAACTTAGAACTAATAAAAAAAGTAAAAACGCTCTATAGTGATGCAAAGACCAATATTGAACAGGGAAACTTAATCAGTAAAGGCTTCTTTATAGCAACTAAAGGACTTAAACAGGGATGCTGCATATCACCAACACTTTTTAAAATATACTTAGAACAAGTTCTCAAAGGGTGGAAAAACAAACGTAGACACCATCAAATATTGCACAGGACTATGATGACCTAGAGTACATGACACGAAAATTGATAGAGGAGTACGAGAAATGGGGTTTAGAAGTAAATCTAACGAAAACAGAATATATGAGGAGGTGAACAACAAAATCTGAAATTGAATAACGGACAAGAAATAAAACAATGTACTGAATACAAATATTTTGGCATGAAAATCTTACATGAGAGAACCCTAGACGAAGCAATTAAAGATCGGAATATACAAGGACGCAAGGCAATATCCCTACTGAATGGTGTACTGTGGGATCAAAATATCAACAAAACTAATAAAATGAGAATATGCAACACTATAGTCAAAACATAGTCACGTATAGTTCAAAAGTCTGGCCACTACAGATCAGAACCGCAAAAATGCTAGAAGCAACTGAAATGGACTTTTGGAGGAGATTGGCAGGCAGGTCAAAAATGAAAAGGATAGCAAATCTGAGAATTAGGGAGATTATGGACGTAAAATACACAATAATAGATGATATGAAGGACAAACAGCTGATTTGGTTCGGACATGTATGTACAAAGAATGGCAGATACAAGGATACCCAAGCAAATAATTGAGTGGAAGCCAGGGGGAAGAAGAAGACGCGGCAAACCAAGAAGAAGCTGGAGAAGCGGAGTAGACGAGGAAATGAAAGGCAGAGGCTTAGAAGAGGATGCCTGGATTAACAGAGATAGTTGGAGATCGGGAATCGGAAGACGTAGAACGTTATAAACCAATAATTATATATACAGGGTGTTCCTAAATATCATGTACAAACGAAAGGGGGTGATTCTTTGGTTTATTTTATGACTAAAATTTCTAATAAACATAGGTCCGCAAATCCTTCGTTACCGATCTACAATGTGTTAAAATTTTAATATTTTTTTGGTTTTTTTCTTTATAGCTCCTGCAACTTTTCAGGGATATAACTTAATTAAATTTGGAATATAGGCTACGCAATAAGAGTTGAATGCTTGCACATGGCAAACGTTTGCCAGAATCTACAGGTTGATGTTTTTTCAGGAGTCATGCCCCCTTCTCTGCCCCTGAACCTTTTCGTGGTGCGCCGCTGATCGATTTTAAGAAACAAAATAATTTTTCTACCTTATTTAGAAACTTTTTGTTCTCTTGTAGTTTTTTCGTATCACCAACCCTTATCGAGAAAAAAATTGAAAAGCAAATCTCTGTAGTTAGCTAGATGAAACTAAAGTGACCCAATAAACCTTTTTCACCTACAGTGGCGACAATAGAGGTCCTGCAGCCATTGATTCTTGCTCATTTTCAATATGAATACATTAAAATTTCAACACCCTGTAGATCGGTAACGAAGCGTTTACGGACCTATGTTTATTAGAAATTTTAGTCATGAAATAAACCAAAAAATCACACCTTTTCGTTTGTACATGATATTAAGGAACACCCTGTATATTAAAAAGCTCTGCTTTTGCGGATTTCAATGATATAGAATTCGATAGGTTTATCTCTAACGGTTTTCGGGGAAAAAAAAGTATTTCGGTTTTTGTCATAAGAAACAATGTGTTGGAAAGAGACCTTTCTCAGTTTTCTTACAGAGATAAAGTCCTTTTCCAACACATTGTTTCTTATGACAAAAAGCAAAATAATTTTTTTTCTCGACAACTGTTAAGAGATAAACCTATCGAGCTTTATATCATCGAAATTTGTATTGTCAACAAAAAGTTTTGTTTACTTCAGGTAGGCTCCTTATCTGGGGAATGGAATTCCAATTATTCTGCACTCATTGATTTTATTATAATTTAAAAATAATTTATACTAGACGTCACTGAACGTATAACACAATAGAAGGCAGGACCGGGCCCATAGACAAACCGGGCTTTCTGGCATTCGAATTCAACATGTCACGTCTGTGTTGTTCTACTTGTCAGAGATCATGCATTTTTAAAGCAAGGCCTGTTCAGGAGGAAGTTTTTGGTTCACCATGTGATCTTTGCAAAAAACAATTTTGTAAAAAATGTGCAGACATTACGACCACCGAAGCACACGCTATTACAGTTTCTCAAAGAAAACTTATATTTTACTGCCC